ATCCAAGACTTTGTGAAATGGCATGATGGTAGGATTGTGTAATTGAGTTGTGGAGTATGTGTATGAGTTAATTATAGGATTGTATGAAGTGTGGAAGTATTGAAATGAATCAAAAATCCTTTGGTGTACATGCATGGTGAATTCGGCCAATGAGGGGAAATAAGGATGGATGGTGTAAAAATTGTGTAATTGATGTTGTGTGATTATGAATGGTGTTTAAATTGGTTGTATATTGAGTTGATGCATTGAATTGGAAGGAAAATTATTAAGTGATGTGTGTGCGCGCATTTTGGCCATTTAGGGAAAATTAGGGGAAAATGGTGCTATGATGGTATGACATGGAATTAAGGACTTGAAACAGTGTTGTGAGAAGCTTAGGAAGCTAGTAGAACCTTGAAATTAAATTAAGAAAATGGTTTGGTAATTTTGGGCCATATAGTTGAATCTATACATGTGGGGGTGGTGGACTTTGGTGCTTTGTGATTTAGTTAGTTGCACCTTGTATTGATGATCCTTGTGTGATCATTGTAGATTGCCTTCCACGGACGAAAACTTGGAGCTTTGAGCTTGGTGGGTTGCCTTTGGTCCTTGACCAAAGAGATTGTTGTAAGTGGTTATGTAATGATGCATGAATATGTAAATAATCATGTGTATGTTTTTATTTGATTGTAACTGAGATGAGAATGACCTATGTGTAGGCATTTCTTATTGGACCAAGCTCAGTGGTGTTATGCTTTGAGATACCAAAAGAGGGAGCTTTCATCAGGTAATCCCTTGGTACTGGGGTTAGTCCCCGTCTGTGCTCCACCATGCCCCTTAGGGGTAGTGGTTGGAGGTGTATGTTGATAGTGCATTATAACATGCTTATTCATATTTGTATGTATAGTGGTACATAGGATATACCATGTCTCTGGCCAGTAGATTGTTGCCTTCGGACGTTACGGACTTCCCGTGGATAGGTCTCCGTGAGGGAGTTCCAGTTGACCTGGGGTCATGGGGTGTCATCTGTTGAGGAGCACTCTAGGAATGTCTCAGGTGTATATGGATGGAGGGTACCTTGGTTGATATTCTGGGAACACTTCCTTGGATGAGAACCCGTGGGCTATACGCAGAGGCCAATAGGCCGGATGTTGCGTGACTTTGGCATCGACCACTCCAGCTTCATCGTATTTTTACTCCCTACACAGCCCTACTTCACTAAATCCCTTACTTTATCTCTTTTTGATTATTGTGATATATTATTGATGTACATCTGAGTGAGCCATTGGGCAGAGTAATCTCCAGAACCTATGGGTTACTGAGATATATTCGTATATCTCATCCCGTTTTGGGGACTTTATTTCATATAGTGGCAGTGGCACAGGAGCAGTGGGCAAGAGGCCCGTGGGATGAGTATTGGAGATCTATGCATCTTTTGCATTTTGAGGGCATTTTGGCATAGGCTAGACTTATGGCATGAACATTGCATATGGATTTAGATTTGTGAATATTGTTATATTTGTTCTTGCCATCTTTTTGCTGAAGTCTAGTAATATATGTATAATGATGTAATTTGAGATTCATTTTATTGTATTTGGAGAAAGTGTTGTATTATGCTTCAAGTGGAGAATTGTAAATTGTAATATTTGGATCTTGTGTAATACTGAAGCATGCTATTTGATGAAAGGGCAATAGGCCTGTTCTAGGATATGAATTATGTTTTATGTCTAAAGAATGCATGTAAATGGATCAAAGTGATTGAAATGGTTTAAGTTTTGATAATGCAATTAATGAGTTGTAAATTAAGTAAATTGATATAAATTGTGATGGGTTGTAAGAGAAACAAGACATTGCTGGTCCTTGAGTGCCACCCTTGAATATTAGGTACCTTTGATGATAGATAACACACTTTTATAAAGTGGGATAAGTTGAATAAACAAAGGAGGCGCTGTCGAAATTTCTAGAAATGGCAGATTTTGGGTGAACTTTGGGAGAGCATATCTTCCTCCACAGATGTGCAATAGGGACCTTCCATACATCATTTTAAAGCTTGAGATGTCAACTATGTTGTGTCAAAATTTGGTAGCCATTGGAGTCGTACGCAGACCTGTACAGGCAGAAGAGTGGGGACGGCTCCGAAGTCCCCTGCACAGGGGACTGTCGAGTGCTGTTTTTGAGGAATTTATTTCCGCCTTAATTCTTGGTCAAATTAGTCCCATGATATTTCAAATTTAAGCTTGAGGTGTCTAGTTTACTGTATAAAAATTTGAGAGCAATTGGTCGAGTGGTTTGTCCGAAATCTTTGAAAGAGTGAGGGTTGTTTGGTGTCCTGTTCGAGGTTGGCTGACAGCTTTGTTTGTCCAACTTCAAACGGTGATAACCGAAGCAAACGATAACTTTATGGAGCGTGTGATAGCTTGTTAGAAATATAATTAAGTCTAGAATAACATACTAAAAGATGAGAGGTTCGCGACACGCGGATTTTCTGCAGTATCCAAAAGACTGAATCATATTCGGATAAGTAAAAACCGTAAAAGTGAGATTTATGCTAAGTGGGTTTATGGGAACCCCTTAGTGACTTAAGAGAAGTATTATATGATAGTTAGGAAATTAATATTATTATTCCGCATTTATTTTTTAGTTATGGTCACAACTTTTACTCATTATTCTTTATAATTGTTTTAAATGCCCGCGTAATGAAAAGGAAAAAATTTACTCGCATTTTTATAAATGAACTGCTGTGATTGTAACTGCGCTTAATATCATAATCAATGTTAACAATACCGGTATACAATGGTGGTTACAGAAGACATAGTTCTACATTGTTTGCAAAGTAGATCTAAGTCTTGAGGAATGTTGAGAATGAGTTTATATTGAGCTTTAACTTGAAGGTTGCATTTATGAACCATCAACTCATGCATAAGTGACATATATACTTTAATCATGCATACAAGATCACACATACATGGAAAATTGTTATATAAGTGTGAGACATGATCATACATATGTTAAAAGTCATCAAGAATCATTTAGAAGTCACTAGAACTCACTTGTAAGCATTTAAATTTGAAAAACCAGCATGGAAATTGTCATCTATGCTGAAGTAATCGAATACTTCTTGGAAAGTAATCGAATACTTCTTGGAAAGTAATCGAAGACTTCATAAATAGTAATCAAGTATTTTTTGGGTTCGAATAAGTAATGGATTACTTTCAGAAAAATAATCGATTACTCCATGATTTTGGTTTACTTAAACTTCAAGTTATCCATAAACCGACTTGTAGCTCATTGGACTTCTATAAACACATGTCTTAGGGTTTTCTAAATAAGGATTAACATAGATAACATAAGAAAAACACCAAATTACTGAAAAACAAGGATTAACCCTCATATAGGCTACTTTTGCATATCTAGAGAGAGAAAGCTCAATATCTTGTTATTCTCTTCATCTTTTTCTGTGATTTCTTTTAATTCTAGACGTAAGGAGGTTGCCCTACAGGTTCTGGACGATTTGATTCGGATTAAGCGTGATCTAGGGAGATCGCAAGTCTGGCAAAATTCCTTTTGTAAATCGATTTTTCAAGCACCGGTTGGAAGCTCGAAGATAGTGGAACGATCGAAGGCAGTCTAGTTGCAACTCTCAAATGGTTGGAGAGTGAACCAAGATAAATCTTGGAGTTCTTGTCTCTTTTTCCTATCCTTTTAATTCCGCTGCATATAACTTCTTTTTGATTCATTGTTTATGTTTATGATGGGAAATGTTTATAATTTTGTTCTTGGTTGATTTCATGAGAAAGAGGTTTTGTTTTATTAGTTACTTGCGGAAAAAGTTAAAACATAATTCACCCCCTTTGTATTATTGTTTAGCCAATCTTCCTTTAAAGTAGATAGTGATTCGATCATGAGACATGATCATGAGTTTGTTAAGCATGGATTATGTGTAGGTATAAGACTATACAGTGTATAATAATTGAAAAAATAGGTTTGCATGGTAATTTACATAATGTAAACATAAAGGATAAAAAAGTTAATTCACATAGTTTAAATAGAACTATTGTGATCTTATATGAAGTCTTCTAGTATTTGAATTCGTAAGATGCACATTTGTACCATATGTTTGTTAACAAACCGGTTGCAAACGAGTGTTACAAAGGGGACATTTGAGAAAAATTTGTTTTACTCAATTCACCCTGCTCTTGAATATGGAAACCACATTCCCGACAAATTTGTCCTGCCTCGTTTTTGTTATGCCATCTCTATTTCCATGCAAGAACCGAGCACATTGGCATATAATACCACTTTATCAAAGAGAAGATGGAGAAAAGAGCTAAAGAAAGTTAACACAAAGGTGAATAATGCTAACTTCCTGACCATAGTGATTTTAGAGAAGTTTGAATGGTACAACTACTTTGCGTTCGAAGAAGCTTGCAAAATACTCACCAAGTGGGAAAATGTTGAGGATGGATCCTACTTTGCATCTAGACGATGATTCATGTCCCTCTAACACAGATAAAGCCAACAGAGGTCCTATTCACAAGTGAGCAGTCAGAGATCCCAGGAGCCACCCCAACGGGGGTACAAGGGCAACACCCCATGCTCATAGAGGTTTGATAATTTTGTGGGTCTTAAGTTACTTTGTAATTTTTTTTTTATTTAGTAATTTGAATTTTGGCCCATAAATAGCTGTTGCGGCTTATGATTCTGTAAGCCTATTCATATTCTTTAATAGTTAAGTGCATTGTAACGAGTGCGATAAGGAGAATATAATAACAAACTTGTTAAATATAACCCTACATTGGGATGAACTAGGATAAACCATATGTATTTCTTTTCTTTCTCCCTAATCTCTTTTCTATTAATCAGTCCTTACACCCAAAACAAGATGTTGTTAACAAATACAAGGGTACATATGCGCTTTGCCTGTTTGCATCTTATTAATGTACTAGCACAGGCTATTTATAGTTCAACACACAACAGATAAAAATTAAGAGACAGCTTTGAAGAAGAAAATACAATTAATATGGTAGCATTTAACAGGTAAATTTGAATATATCTTCAATATGGCACTTAGTTCTACACTTACTATTCACGTAGTGAACTTCAGGAATGATAATGTCATTAAATTTCATTGTGTAGCAACTTGGCCTTTATTGCAAGTGAAAAAACTGGGAAAGTCTGTTTGCTTGGGCTGAAACACTTTGCTACCAGCTGTTAACAGCGGAGGTAGTTATGTAGATGACATGATTCAGACCTCTGCATTTTCCTCATCCTCAACGTCATCGATTCCAACCCAACGTGTAAATGCAAAAAGAAACTCCTTAAAGTTCACCATTCCATTTTTATCCCAATCCATCTCTTCTGCGGCATTATGCAGAGAATACAAAATAACTATCAATAAATAAAGGGAAATACTACTTGAGATCAGAAAACAAAGACAAGATTGCTTTTCAGTTGTTACTATATAGAAGTCATTAGAATGAGTATGGTGCACAGTGATGGTTATTTTTGCCATTTTTACTGAGTACGTAAAAGAAAAATAGCTTAGGTCCCATTATATACATTATTGACCTATTAAAGGCTAGTTCTATATTTCATGCATGAGCAAGCAATTTCTAACATGATTAGAAACATATTTTATGGCAAGATACACAGACGACTTCTCTGCAATGGAAGGAACACAAGATAACTTACCCTGTAATGGCCTAAATGTTGCCTCTGCTAATGTTTTCCAAGAAGTATCTTGTGATCTAGCTTGATGACTATATGTAAAAGGTGTTCTTTTTTTCTTGTGAAAGCATGTTAAAGCATATTTCAAAACATTAGTATGTAAAGTATATGGTTAACATACTCATGTCTGTGTTTAAGCAAGCTTGAACGCTAACTTGAGTGAATATGCATGGGTATTTTTATACACAGAGGGAGAGGGAGAGACAACTGACCAAATCTTTTCATGGCTATTCTTCCAGAAGAACGCTCCCCTGATGTAGTTTCATTAATAGCTGCGACCATTTCACTTTTGCTGACATATCCATCCTTATTCTTGTCTAAGAATACAAATGTATCAACCAAAGTCTCAAATGTGGCCTCCAGATTTGGCATCCCAATTCGTGATTTCTAGAGAAGTCAAGGTAAGCAACTTGAAAAAGGTAGAAAACATAGAAATTCGTGACTTATAATATATTATCAAAGCAAACAGCAAGGCAATCAGAAAATCTGTTTTTATGCCTCCTACATTGCATTGCCTCAAAGTTCAAACTTGAAATCTTGTAACCTGTTCTTCAATTTTGATTGATTATTTGATCATTTTCATTTTATGACAAAATTATACCTCCCACAGGTGATGTCCGGATGACAAAACTCTAGACTGTCCTGAAGAAATGCTTGAATTAGATAAGCAAGGCCATACCAGAAAATTTTGACTAAACAAATAGAACTCAATTGTTCATTAAGGCCAAACATCTCCCAAATTAAATAAATGATTATCTACATAGGCTACAAAAAGACAAAAGAATCTATATTCAATTCTCAGTCCTTAAATGTATAATAAGCCCAAATAATTCAAAATATCAACCGGAGGTGCTTGACATGTTCTTTAAAGAGCAGGTTTTACTTGTCTATCTTCCATATTTTAATTATTTTTTAAGAATCTCTCCATATATTGTGAGAATAACATTATATGGTAATGAAACTAATACGGGGAAGATGATGTGTGCTAGGATACAGCATGAAGGGCTGCTGGGTCATCCTTGAGAAGGTAGACAAGGCAGAGAAGTACAATAAACTCACTGAACTTCATTCCCATATCCTCATTGATATCACATGCTTCAAAAAGATCATTGATCTCATCCTCGGTAAAAGAAATTTCCAGCTTACTGAAACACTTTTTCAACTCTTCTTGATCTATAGCTCCATTAGAATCCTCATCTATGAGAAAAGCCATAAACACACATCACTTAGCAATTATAATAAATAAATATGTCCATTTGTGTGTGCATGCACCGGTGACAAAAGCAATTGGCTAATGACTTTTTGTTGCTCTGCTAAATCCTATGAATGAGCTTGATAAATTGCAGTTCCAATCACAAAATAAGAATAACTTATTAATATAAAGGATTCTGAGAAGACAGTGGCTGCTTTCTTTTACTTTGGCATGACATTTGGTATGTACTTTCAGGCCCATATATTTCATTTATAGCAGCCTTCTGTTAAAAGGTATCAAATAAAAATACCAATTCAACAAAACATTAAAATTTGAAGTAGAAACCTACCAAACTGCTCAAATATGGCTTTGCATTTTCTTAAGCTCTCATCAATTTTTGGGAATTTCAAGATTATAGTGTTGAATGATCTCACAGAACTTCCTTGTGATTCCCTCCGCTGCATTGCTTCAACCATTTTAGCCTCAAGCTTGGTTTCTGCTATCCAAGCCTTCTTGGGTGATTCTCCCTTTCCTAATGCACTTCCCATTACCAAATAATAAACCGAACCAGGATTCAGAAATGGTGCTTCTGGTACCTGGAAAGCAAGATTATTACCCAACTTAAAAACAATTTAACAAAAATGTAAAAATCAATTCTCACTCACTGACTCTTTATGCATATAAATTTCATTATTTGTTTTTCTAAGTGATAATCAATTACACAAAATTTGTTCTGCAAATCTGAATAATAGGGTCTCAGCACATTTCTTGACCCTGTGACCTGAATGCGACTTGTCTTGAAATCCAAACATCCATTTAAGCACATCACGGTTTAGAATCTATCTTCAGTGTCAATTTCAAATGTCTTAAATTGTAATGTAATAAAAAATTTAGGCCCTGATTTTTCCTTCTAAATTTTGAACAAGTCTTTAGGCCCCTGAAGTATCTCTGGTCAGCAAGTAAAATATTAATTATAAAAAATGAAATATAAAAATTAAAAAAAAAAATATATATAGAGAGAGAGAGAGAGAGAAAAAAAAACAGAAGGTAGTGTGATAGGAGATGATCAATTTTTACCCCCAAAAAAATCAACATCATCAGTTTTGCACATGTAATTTAAGTCAATTCTGTCAACAATTTGATGGAAACCCAACTGAAGACTTTGATAATGAATAGATATAACCGACATCATATCAGAATTACAAGCAAATAAATGAATTGAACTTATAATTCAATAGAAGATATCAACGCCCCAATGATTGGGATGCTGAGAACTAAGACATATTCCCTCCAGTTTGTTCTGAATTTGAAAGATTACAAGAAAAGTGGAAAGAGGAGGAGCATGTAAAAGGCCTTTGACCAGAACCAATATAAATTGAAATATCACAAATATAGAAAGGAATTTAAATAAAAATAAAAAAGAGACAAATAAATAAAAGGAGGAAAGTTACTTAATATGAAATGAAAAAGAAAATTGAAAGACAAGAGAGTACAAACTCTACCCTATGATCAGGTATAAGAAGGAGCAGGAATTCCCAAGCTCCTTGGATTGAAACTGAACAGGATCAAAAGAAAACAGTGGAGACCCAAGAACTCAAACTCGTGAACCTGAAAGGACAAGGGAAAAAAAAAAGTGGTTTGTGGGTGTTGCAGATTCAAGATGGTGGTTTTGGCTTTGCAGAAAGATGCAAGAACATACCAAACATAGGAAAGTGAAGTTTGTTAACTGAGTCTGGGCCTTCATGTGTCTGTCTCCTATGTTTGTGCTGCTCCCACCACGTATTGTCGTCAGTCATGATCTAAGCGCATCTTTTGCTACATTTTCAATATTCGCACATTCTATTATATTACAAATATTATATTATATATATATATATATATATATATACACGGGGAAAGTACTTCACTGCAGAAGAGAAAAAGTACAGTAACACTTTCTTTTATCAGGATATGTGTCCGAATCCTGGTTTTTTTTTTTTTGATAGAATCCGCACGTGTATCCTAGTATTAAAAATTTGCTGCAACTTTTCTCATCAGCAGTCACATGAGAAGCGACGGACCCTATATATATATATATATATATATATATATATATAGATTCAGGATCATTTTACACTAGTGTAAGTTACACTATATATATATATAGGGTCAGGATCATTTTACACCAGTGTAAGTTACACTTTTAATCTTGTCCGTTAATCCCACTTATATCTAAGGGTTCAAATTTTTTAGTAATGTGAGTCATTGGATACAAGTGTTTCAATGGTCAAGATTGAGGGTAAGACTTCTAACTCTTACACCGGTGTAAGAATATCCTACCTCATATATATATATATATATATATATATATATATATATATATATGAGGAAAACTAGTATTATGTAACATGATATAAAATATTTTACCTATTGACCCATTGGTTTCCGCACCAACATTTTTTATTTTTTGTTTTTATTACATGTATGGGACCCACATGCATTTTTGTTTGAGTAGGAAAAATTGTTTAGATTATGTTACATGATGGTAGCTTTACCTATATATATATATGTGTGTGTGTGTGGAAAAATAAATCTTATGTTACACGAGAATTCTAATCTCATGTCATAGATACATCAAGTGTGTGACCCTCCTATTTAAAAAAAATAAAAAAATGAGTGACACATCTTTTTATGGTGTGTGTAGGAAGGGTTTGTTTTCTCATGCAACATGAGAAAAAAAAACTCAATATATATATATATATATATATATATATATATATATATATTAAGTTTGTTTTTCTCATGTTATCAAACTAATCAATAATTATTATTCTCAATAAATGATAACCGTTGATTGGTGAAAATCAACAGTTAATATTTGTTGTCAAATTTTAAAGTTTGACACCTATTTGACATCGGTGTCAAACTTTAAAATTTGACAACAAATATTAACTGTTGATTTTCACCAATCAACGGTTATCATTTATTGAGAATAATAATTAATGATTAAGTTTGATAACATGAGAAAAACAAACTTATATATATATATATATATATATATATATATATATATATATATATATATATATAATAGGATATTTGACATCGGTGTCAAACTTTAAAATTTGACACCAAATCTTAACTATTGATTTTCACCAATCAACGGTTATTATTTATTGGGAATAATAATTAATGATTAAGATTGATTCCCAATAAATAATAACTGTTGATTGACGAAAACCAACAGTTAGGATTTGGTGTCAAATTGTAATTGTGTGTGTGTGTGTGTGTGTGTTCTAAAGGACTGTAAATCCTTGCTCCTAGGATCCAAGAAAAGAAGGGGTTTTTGGTTAACAAATTCCTAATTACATAACTTACTACCCTACTAGTGTAGTGTCTACTGACTGAGTCATGAATTAGATTGGATGGGCCGATAGAGAATCAAATTAGGAGTTGTGGAAAGGACTTAAGATACTATGTATCAAGACTCGCGATAGGATTTGAGTGTGTGTGTGCGATGGAGATATAAATCCGAAGCCTTTGAAAAGTTCAAGGAGTTTAGGAATGAAGTAGAGAAACAGCGTGGCAAGATGATTAAGACATTACGATCAGATCGTGGTGGTGAATATCTGAGCCATGAGTTTCAGGATTATCTGAGAGAAAATGAAATTCTCTCGCAGTTTACTGCACCTTATACACACCACACCAAAATGGTGTCTCCGAAAGGAGAAACAGGACCTTGTTAGACATGGTCAGGTCTATGATGAGTGAGACTCAACTTCCAAAATCGTTTTGGGGATATGCCCTAGACACAACGACATACCTTCTAAATAGGGTACCGTCTAAATCTGTTCAGACCACACCATATGAGATATGGAATGGTAAGAGACCCAACCTGAGTTACCTCAGGGTATGGGGATCGCCAGCTTATGTCAAAGCGTTGGCATCAGACAAGCTTAGTGCTAAGAGTACTAAATGTCTATTTGTGGGGTATCCCAAAGGTACTAAGGGATACTACTTTTACTCCATGGATGAACACAAAGTGTTTGTGTCAAAGAATGCTGAGTTCCTTGAGAAGGATTTGATCTCTCAAGGAGCCAGTGAGAGTAAGATTGATCTTGAAGAAGTTCAAGAACCACATGAACAGATTGAGGAACCCAAGTCTGCTCCGCAGGCGACGTTCTCCAATGGAGAAGTAAACACACAACTCCGTAGGTCAACGAGGGGCATCCATCCACCTGAGAGGTATGGGTTTGTGATTGAGAATCAGCAACCGTCGAGGATGATGAACCAAGTAACTACGAAGAGGCAGTCAAGGATGTTGACTCTTCTAGATGGCTTGAAGCCATGGAATCTGAAATGGATTCGATGTATCAAAACAAGGTATGGACCTTGGTTCCTAAACCGCAAGGAATAGTTCCTATTGGTAACAAATGGGTCTTTAAAAGAAAGACTGATGCAGATGGCAACGTTCAGACCTACAAAGCTAGGTTGGTTGCGAAAGGGTATCGTCAAAGACAAGGAGTTGACTATGATGAGACTTTCTCACCTGTTGCCATGATCAAATCTATTAGGATCATGCTTGCAATAGCGGCATATCACGACTATGAAATTTGGCAAATGGATGTCAAGACCGCCTTCTTGAATGGGTTCTTGAAGGAGGATGTGTACATGACACAACCTGAAGGCTTTGAAATCAAAGATCAGGAGCATATGGTATGCAAACTTCAAAGGTCGATATATGGGCTAAAGCAAGCATCAAGGAGTTGGAATATTCGTTTTGATGAAGTCGTTAAGAGTAACGATTTTATCAAGAACGAGGATGAACCTTGTGTTTACAATAAGGTTAGTGGGAGTAATGTCGTCTTCCTAGTACTTTATGTAGATGACATATTGTTAATAGGAAATGACATCCCCACATTACAAACAACGAAAGAGTGGCTTTCAAAAAGCTTCACCATAAAGGATTTGGGAGAGGCGACCTTTATACTTGGTATAAAAATCTATAGAGATAGATCAAACAGGCTGCTGGGTTTATCTCAATCCACGTATATTGACAAGATGCTAAAGAGGTTTAGCATGGAAGGATCAAAAAGGGGTTTTCTTCCCGTCAGTCATGGGGTACATCTTTCAAAGGCCATGTGTCCTAAGTCACAGGCTGAGAAGGATCGCATAAGTGGAATTCCATACGCTTCGCCTATTGGATCCATCATGTATGCCATGATATGTACGAGACCAGATGTCTCATATGCTTTAAGCATTACGAGCAGATACCAGTCGGACCCTGGAGAGGGTCACTGGACGGCAGTCAAGACCATCCTTAAGTACTTAAGAAGAACTAAGGATGTGTTTCTGGTCTATGGTGGGGTTGATGAGCTAACAGTGAAAGGGTTCACTGATGCCAACTTTCAGAGTGACAAAGATGACTGCAAGTCACAGTCAGGGTTCGTATTCACCTTAAATGGTGGGGCAGTATCTTGGAAGAGTTTCAAGCAGGAGACAACAGCTGATTCAACGACAGAAGCTGAATATATAGCTGCTTCAGAAGCGGCTAAGGAGGCCTTGTGGATCAAGAAGTTCATATCTGAACTTAGGGTGGTTCCAAGCGTGGATGAGCCCATATAGTTGCTGTGCGACAACACTGGAGCCATTGTGCAGTCAAAGGAACCTAGGTCTCATCAAAGATCTAAGCACGTGCTCCGCAGATATCACCTGATTAGAGAAATCATTGATAGGATGGATGTAAAGATGGATTATGTTCCCACAGATGATAACCTGGCCGATTCTCTGACAAAAGCTGTTTCTCAGAGAAAACTAGTCATTATGAGGCTTTGGGTATACGACTTAGGTCTGATTGGCTCTAGGCCAAGTGGGAGCTTGTTAGTATATGGATGTCCTAGAGACAATCTTTTGATTAGATTAGGACATATGTAGACCTTTTATATTGTCGCAAATAAAAGCACTATTTATCCTGTTTCATATTTTGTCTCAATATTACTATTAATATTTATATGAGTAACTGGATAAACCCCTTGGAATAAAATAGGTATCTCTTGAGTATCTGTGATGAGATCACGATCATGAGGATTCAAGGATACTACATGTTTATTCCTAATTTTATGTTCCTAGTCTAGAGACACTGAGAATGGGGATCAGTGATCTCGGGTAAGACTAGCACGACTTATCTACTTGTATTTGGATGCAAGGTAAAGACCTTATGAGCTACAGATATGGAGATGTCTTAGCTAAAGTCGTGGGTGGACCTATAAGGGTATAGCTCGCACTGAACAGCCCCACAAAGAGACTCTATGAAGAACTCTCACAGAGAGTATCATTAGAGTAGTTTCTTTATATTTGGTTATGTCTTTCCTAAGACCAGAAGTTATTACCTAGACTGTGTTCTAGAAGGAATGCTTTGATTGTGCACCTCGTCTGCCTGAAACATGGAGACTCATAGGTATACTGTTGGGCTTGTCCTGAAAGAACACAGGGCTAGGGTGATAAGCTGAAGGAATTCGTCAAATCTCTGTTAGAGATTAGGTTATCTGTAAACCGGAGAAATCGGGATGACATTTACAGGGACTCGGGAATCTATGCATAGTAAAAGAGATCATGAGATGATCTGCCTTTAGAGTCTGTAAATTGAAGATTCCCTATTTCGAATAAAGCTTACCCTAAACCGCAGGGGTTGATACGCTTCCTTACCCTAGGTTTTATGGGAAGGTAACCGAGTCGAAAGGAAATATATACGGCAACCAAATATGTGTAATAGGATGATCAAGTCATTAATCTAACTAGTTCTGGGGCAACAAAGCATTGCTTGTGCTCTGTGTTGTCATTAGATGGG